TTATTTGATCATTAACATATCTTTTTTTCGTGGCATCGTAATCTCCGTAAAAAAAACTATAACTACCTAGTTTTTGATGAAAATGTCATTTTTTGTAACTAAATAAGTGATTAACTTCTCAGTATCAGTTATAGTTCCATAAGGCTCGCGTTAAAAAAACATTTTTATAACGTTTCTTTTTCAATAATTGTATCGTTGAACTTGCGATATTTTAGTAGCAATCGAAAAAGTTGAAGCTTTTAAGAATATTCTGTTACATTTTCAATTATGTATTTTATTTTTAAACATTTGCGTGAGTCACTTTAACTGCTAATATCTCGGAGATTCGGTTTACAAAACGGTGAAGGACTTTTCGATTTGTATTTCCACGAGGAATGTCCATTTTGCGGATTGTCTAATCTTTTCGGGACACCCTGTACACAGATATATCAACCCGTTTCGACCCGCGTAAAACGCGGGTCGCTATCCCGCCGCCGCGTTACAGAAATACGGAGCGATGCGCGCAGTGGAAAAGGGAACAGCGCGGCGCTCAACTCACTCGCGCTCACACTCATTTTTCAAGCGTGCACGGGAAAAAGATTGAACGGGGCCGACGAGTCAAGACGTTCGCACGGTTATCTTCGATATTGACTCCTTCCAGCCCCTACCATCGCGGTTCTTCGCTTCGTGGCCACCGTCGTCTCTCTGCATCCGTACCAGCGATGAATTTGAATTGTATCGATATTTAGTATCGATACGTATTGATACCCAGAGTACCGATATCCATATGTATATCAGGAACAAAATATCGATATAATAAGGGAATTAAACAGATATTTACTATAGCAGATACCCAGGTAACAAACTTTCTGGGAATCTCGCGAGATCGATCCATTTTCCTTACTATCTATTACGTTACGACAAATACGGCGATTATTAAAAAAAATTGAAGAACGAAAAATCGCGGGGTAAAGAATCGATGCTCAGAAAAATCGAACACCAGTGAATCCATTCAAAAGATCGATTTTGTTATTAATTTTTTGAAGAATCTATTCGGAATCGAAAATCCCTACTACGACGTCGATGATCCATGAAGACACACGATGGGAGAGTCGTTGACGGCACATCGGTGTCGTTACACCGTGGTTTGCTCTATACGCGCGTGGTACGCTGGCGAACCAGAGGTCGTTCGCACCGTGACGGCCAAGCTGTAATACGCCGCGGCAGCGTGCTCCGGAACCGCATGGCTGCGCGAGTGCTCGACATCGGGTATTTCTTCTTACTCGAAGCCTGTCGATAGGACACACTGTTATCAAGAAAAATTTCGTACGGTACCATCGGAAAAAGAACGAATGTTTTCGATCTGGATCCGATCGGTATATTGTATCACTTTTCTGTTCCCCGGATGTTTCCTTGTTTGTGCAAACGATCCTTCGCGACCATTATTATTATTGTCGTCATTGTCAGCGCAACGGTCAAGGTTTTTATTTTTCTTTCCTCCGGGCATGCTTCGCACTGCGTGCCGCTACGTCGTTAGCAACATTGTTTTCAACGATTTTTGACTTACGGGGCCTGTTAATACTGTTCAATATTAAAATCAATCAATGACGGGGGACAGCGGAGAGGAAGAGATCAGAGTATAATAAACTCGCGCATTCCCGTAATGTAAATACAGTAAATTGTCGATGAGTGTTCACAGACTTCTTGGCATTGAACAATTAAATATTTCATAAACTAACGGACATAGGTGACTGAAACAAATATCATTGACTTCAGAATTCCGAGCTCTATCACTGTGCTAAACATCATTAAAAAGTCAATGTTACACCTAGGGACCTGTCCTTGTCAACGACGAAGACCCTTCAAACACTCATCGAGGATTTACTGTAGTAACTAGACAACGTTCAACCAAGGAAAGGAGAGAGAGAAAATGTTGTTGAAAAACAGTGGATATAAGAGGCAAATATTTCACTCGAAATTGTTGTTCCTTCTTCGGACCGTAATCTCGGACAAGCACGCCGTACGAGGCTAAACTATAACGTCGTGTTCGAAGTTTACCAAACTCGTGACCAAGCAATGGCTCGTCGAGGTACAACGAGAGATCACTGATCCAGAGCTTTCTGTAATACCTCATTTTTATGACGGCTAATAACCTCGATGAATCTTTTGATTTTTTTTTAGACAAACATTATTAACTAGTCTTAAATTGTTATTATTTTTATGTTTTTACCATTCTTACTGTATTTTTTTGTATTATATTTTTGTTTCAACTTTTTCTCACGTGTCCTTGTTTATATTCATTCTATCTTTATATCAAAGGGATTGCTCTGTTAAAATACACATTATTATTATAGGAGTATTACACGAACGTGAAGGAGACAAGAATTGGTTATTTTCATTTGGAAAATTTCAGGCCTTTTGTTATCCAGACGCCCCCATCGACTGCGTAATTGTAGAAACTGATCACGAGGCATCGATTCTCCTCATCTTTTCCTTCGTAGTCAAAAGTGAGAAAAACGAAGCCTTGTGAAAATTCATGAGATCGCGTGAAAAGCCGTTTGTGTGTGTGCGCACGTGCGCGGGAATTTTCTCGCTCAAAAAAGATTCTGAAAAAGCGCCAGCGGCAGTACGATCGCGTGATGTCAATCGGTAGTTTTCCGATACGTCGTGGCAGTGGCGACGGGAACAGCCGATTCGCTCGGTCGTATTTTATTTTTGGAAAAACCCGTCGTCGCTGCGACCGGCGGGCGGACGTGCATAAATTAACTGGATGAACGCGCGCGCGCGCGCGCGCGCGCAAAGCGACTCCACGTGTTAAGAGAAAATTGCGTATAAGACAGGTGGTCCGCGGTGACGTCACGTTATGGTCGGTCCCTTTCGAAAAGTTTAATAATTTCCGATGACACATCTCGTGTCCCACGGAACCACTGCCGCGACAGATACCATACGACGAACCAGATAACACGATTGTTTGAAGAAAAGAAAAAATAAGAAAAGCACTTCTTGAACAATGAGATTTCGTAATTGTTTTTTCGACCGAAGACCAGTTACCATTTCGTGTACGTTGCGGAATGCGCGTCAGCGAGTGAAGGAAACACAATAACAGGTTCGGAGGTATTGTTGGCATATATTGTACCGAAAAAAAAAACGAGAGAAAAAATGAAAACGTGTAACACGTAATGGTAAAATGTTCTGTTTTCCCGTTGATAAAAGTTTTTCGTTCGGCCGATCGCGCGCGATGATTATTCGTAGATAAGTGGGTGACGCGATCGTTCGTCTGAAAAACATTTTACGTTCTATTACGATTTCATAAGAACCCGCGGCGAGGCCAATGACAATCAACGGTTCGGTATATAAAACTGAGAGGAAAGTAAAAAGGAGAGGAAAGAAAAAAAAAGAGAGAGAAAGAGAGAGATAGAGAGACATAGAGAGAGAGAGAAGTGAAATGAAAAACACGCAACGCGCTCGTGATATCGAATTATATTTATGAAAACCGTTGTCGCCGCGCAGTTCACCGCGAGGCAAGTACTATTACGCGGTGATTCGCAAAAACGACTGGTTGATGGACGTTTTCTTAGAAACGAAAAATTTCCGCGACTGCGGCGATAAGGCAGTTTCTCGAGTGCTCAACTATCGTTTTGTCGCTTACTACGCGACGAGTTTAAATTCATGGAAAGCTCCTTCCGTTAATCTGATTCCGCGGCGATGAGTCACATCGGAATCATTCCAATTTAAAAATTATTTTGCAATCGAGAAACGCAATTCATGGCTACCCGAGTCGTAGTAATTTCGCAGCACGTGTTTCTCCACGAATTTAAAAAGCACATCCTCTCCCGCAGTTTGACCGCGCACCCCTACCACTACCCCCCTCTGCCCCCCACCAGGTAACCAGCGTGATGATATTCAGGAGGAATAAACAACCTCGACTTACGTACATGCAATACATTCCCACGTGTGCACGTGGCGGTGGCACGCATCGGTCAGTAACGTTTCAAGTGTCAAGAACCGCGCCTACGTGCTCGACTTTACGTGCAAAAACCGATCGGAGATGTACCATGTACGTATGTACTGGCAATCCGTGGTTAGGCTTTTGAGGTTATGTTTGTCCCCCGACGAGAACGCGCGCGCACACACGCCTTCCTCAGAAAGTATCGTTCCGAAAAGAGGCAAAAACGGTCTCTCGAAAAAAGAAGAAATCGTCCGTGTACATTCGCGTAGAATCACGGGGCTCGACGCCTCGTCTCGTTTCAATTTTCACTCGCGTCTCTCATTCCGGCAACGTGTGTTTCCTCGTCGTTCAGTCTCATTTTCCCCTCCGTTCGTTCCCCCCTGTGCGCCACACACACAACCTTTCTCCCATTCTGTCTACTGCTCTCAGTTCTGTGGCAGAGGGAACAGCAGCTCTCTTTTCTGTCTCTTTTCGACGGGCGTGAATTTTAACGTCCCGTCATCGGTGAGAAAGACACACCACTATCTATCACACACACACACACACGGATTATATTGCGCGCGGAGGAGAGAGCAGAGAACCGCCGCCGCCGCGCGCAGTGTCAATGAGAAGGCGAGAGAGGTCGTTTGATAGTGGCGGCGTCCTCGTCGGTCGAGTTTTCTCACCAAGCGCGCTGTCATCGTCATCATCGTTGTATTTTATCATTTAAAAGTCGCGATCGGAAAATTCGTGTCGACGCTCCTGCCCGAGAGAGACCACCACGAGAGGAGAGTGAGATGGGTGTGGAGGATGGAGGGGAAGAATGCGTTTACAAGCGCGAATAGGACGACGGACGGCTGCCGTGGAGGGAGAAAGGGGGTTGACAAAATGGGTGGGGGAAATGGGAAGAGAGAGAGAGAGGGAGAGAGTAGAGGAGGGAGGAAGAGAAAGAGACGCCGCCGGTCTAACATGGCAGACGATGCCATGCAGGCAGAAAAAAAACAAGATCTAACGTTCGTTCGTTCGTGCGACACAGACGGAAAGACAGTCGAGATAGCCGCGTATATAGAAAGTATATTGGGTATGTACTCACGTTCTTTCGCGTGGTATTTCCCAGGTTCGTTGTTTTCGCGGGCGGAAGGGAAATTGGTGAGAAAAAAGAACAACAAAAAAAAACGTGCAGCGCAGAGAGGAGAACACCACGCGCCCGGGGTCACGCACTCCGTGTTCCGTGCGGGTACTCGTCGTCGATGGACAAACCAGCAACGCCTGGTGGTCCGTTAATCCGTCGCGATCGCTAGGTTTCCGTCCCTTCTTGTCCGATGGAACCCCCGTCGTACGTTTGACGTGTAAAACCACCGGCACCACACGACGACAACGACGACGACGACACACGATCAACGACAGCCTCGACGGACCGACGACAATGACGACAACGACGACGACGACAACAACAAAACGCGCGCGCGTGTGTACGTCTCTCGTGTTACAAAGTGCGTCGCCTTCGTTTGTTGTGTTTTCGGTAAACGCAGGTGTTCCACGGGGCGTGGAAGGGTGCGCGGCACATGCGAACGTTTGTTTTTTACGCACGAGAATTTCTCTGTTCTCTCTCGCGAGAAAAACCGACAGAGAAACGTGTGACCGAACAAAATGGCGTTTGCCGGACCGCCCGCGCGCGATCAGGTGGAAAATGCCGGAATGCTGCTGCTAGGAAAGATCGACTGACTGTCGAGGTCCGCGGCCCTAAGTGGTTTGACGTTAAGAACGAGCCGAACGAGCAAGAAAGAGGGACAGAGACAGACAAAACCGTCAACGGGAACGGGAGAAACGGAGAAAGACAGAGGGGAACCAGCCAAGGAAGGGATGCGCACGCGGTGATGGTGGGAGGGGGGCAGAGGGGAATCGAGGGGCGGTTAGAAGCGATAGAGGGGAAACGTCCCACTATTTTCCACTGTCCTCGGACGACTTCGACTACCTTCGATTGCTTTCGACTATGAGCAGGGCCGTCTCTCGCATTATGCTCTAATGCGGGTGGGAGGTTTTCCCGCTCTGTTAGAAACAAATTGTCGCAAACGATGAGTTCTTACGGGTCACCTTTTTTGAATTTCGTCCACGACGCCCTCTCACGATCGTTCGTACGAACTCATCCGGTCTGCACGGAATGTACTTGCATACTTATTGTTCTGGTGGACCATTCTATGTCAATAAAAAGTCTCATAACAACGTCATATTTTACTGTGAAGTATGATAAGACCATTTCTGTGTTTCCTCTACCGAGACTTCCCGTTTCGACGAGAAGTTGTCGAACACGTGATTGTATTCCGTTTAACCGACAACGTCTTTTCCCCCAATGGCGTATGAAAGGAGAAACAGACTAACCAGATCAGACTCAGCGACTATACACAAGAACCTTTACGCGTGTTTATGCGAGAAAGATATCCGTTAATGTGTCACCTACTAAGAATTTTTTACTCGAACGTTGCTCCCCGGTTTTGCAAAAGGTTTCGCGATAGAAGAAAGCTGCATCGGTCCTACGAACGCGGGGACCGATACACCCGCGGCGTCGTCGCCGTTTCTTTTCCGGGCGGCTTGGTTTTCTCCGGCGGCCGTTTTCCTTCGCCCCCCGGTGTGTCGGTTCCGTTCGGTCGTCTCGCGAGGAATTTCTAAAAATCAATATAGGCGCGAAGCGGGAGCCAGGAGGGGCCGCAAAAAAATTCGATATCCCGTTCGCCTCTCTCCCCCTCCCCCCTGTTTCTTTCCTTTTTTTCCACCGTCTCTGCCATTTTTATTGTTTTTTCTTTTTTTTTCGCTTTCTTTCGTTCTTCTACCGCAACGCGAATCGCGCAGGCGATAGGCTCCCTTCTCGCTCGTCCTCTTATGGTCCCCACGGGGGGAAGAAGCGTTGGCTATTCGAAATCAACTCCGATCTTCGAGGAAGAGAATTCACGGAGGAAGTAAGTGGGCTCGTCGCGGCTACGGGGCTGCGAACAACCAAGAAGCGCGGGAGAGTTTATTTTCTCAGAAGCGTAGCACACGGACTTGGTACAGTCTCTGCTGTTACCGGCTGAATAATTTCAACCTCGCGTATACCATCACACACACACACTCGAAGATAAGCCTATGCACACTGGTCCCTGTGTGTATAACGAAACACGATGTGTTTGTGGCCGGATAGAGCATTAACGGAGCACTGAAAACAGTGCATCCCGTTCAACGATGTAATTTTCGTTCGTGTCCCGAGAAAATGCGCGGCTCGATGATCTTTTATTTACTTCTTTTTGTTTTTATGATTTTTGATATCCCGGGGCAGGTTAAAGACCTGTTACCTTGGAGACGGTCGATCGTATTGCAGGCGAACCGAGCCGCGTTTAAGCTGGTCGCGGAACAGAGCGAATTAAGTTCTATCCGCGGAAATTCCCGTGGAAAATCTCGACGAAGGGAAAAGGGGGAAGGAAAGAGGACACACCGTAGCGCGCTAACGTTCGAGTAACGTAGGTGTATAAGGCAGAATACAGGCGCCAGATATTCCACGGTGTGGAGGCCTGTAATCAAACGAGATTGAAGGAAGATCATTAATTTCATCCGGCGGGCGTTTACTTTGCAAAGTGCCAGACGAAGCCATTGATTGTCTTTCGAAAGTTTCCGCGAGCCGTGGAATTAAATGGGGTTACATGTTCGACCGTGGAATTATTATCGTTCCTAGAATTTCCAAGAAGTTTTTTTTTTTTGGATTCACTGACGGGTGAGCTGATCGAATCGAAAGAAAATCAAGAACGGGTTGCTCGACGAATTTACGTAACCGATATTGGACCGCAATATATATATATATAAATCGATAGATATATAAATGTAATACAGATTATGAACACAGCTGGTGGATCACTACTAATGCTGGGCGTTCCATGGAGCGTGCCGATTACGGATATTCGTGCATTAGGGAGTCGTTTACCCTAAGCACAAGTACTCGCCCTGAATTTTATGAGTAATTGTCTGAGGGTTTTTATCCGAGTACACCACGCAGAGAAAACAGAAGCTTGGCGCGGTGAAAGCATTAGCACGCGTGAAAAATCGCAGGCGAAACATTGGCTGGTCTCGTGTAAACATATCACAGCCAAACGTTGTAATGAACAACACACCAAAGGCCCGATTACCAAACGCTTTCCGAGACATAGACTGTGTGTCACAGGAACGAACGATTACGTCAATCATCGCGAGTAGACATTCATTCTTCTAATCATACTGGTTTCATTTGATCGATCCACACTGCGATCAAACATCGAGTTGAGAGACAATCGATCACCTGTGGTACACAACCTCCGACAAACAATTCGATTGTCTTATTTATCGGAGGCGTTGAACAATTCGCGATCAAGGATCAAAAGCGAACCGTTTTGGGCGGTGAATTATTCCTGCACGCAGCAGGGGAGATTCTATGAACCCTCAGGTTGTCGGCCAGCTCGTTATCGCGCGTTGATAAACACACGTGCACATTCTTTTTACGTTTGCTTGCGTACGCTGACAGTGCGCTAGGGAGAGAGAGTGCTTTTGCGGGGTAGTGAGAGAACAGAAATGGACGAAAGAAAATATATATTTGTATACGTTACCTGTTTCCTGAACTCACCAGATCTCTGTCCTTTGGTGAATTCGGTTCGTCGTCCCAACCGGAAACGATCGGAAGTGGTTGGTATCGTGGTGAACATTTAGCCAATCCCGCGTACCCTGCCAGCGAGCGAACGCTTGGGATTGGCTGATTTGGGTCTCAAGGTCGAAGACACTTCGTTGCCTTTCCTACAAGCTCCTTAGCTCGCATAGTCGTCCTGAGGCAAGGTACAATGATCTTTCCATGTAAGGATGACGGTTTCATAATTTTGCCATTTTGCAAAAATGATCGTACGTACTCGACTCTTGTTCTCGGTCGGATATTCCAAATGAATGTATAATCGTGAAATAGACTTTCAGAACATGGTAAAATTATGAAACCAAGCCTTACGACAGAGACTATTGAACGACTATCTCACTACCATAATATGATGTTATATAACCGTAATGTATTGAAATTAACACGAGCGCCAAAGAAAAATGCACGAAGTTATCGTTAACGGAAGGTTGAACAAAGCTTTCGTGTGGGATTCCGAACGAACGAATGAAATTGTGATTTTCGAAACGTGTTCCCGGTCGAATCGAAGGGCGATTCATCAGCGGGGCACGCATTCGTATGCACGGCAAGATTACAAAATTGGTCTTCCGAAACTGATTGAGCCTGATTGTCGTCCGTAATAAGGTCGGAATTTACACGAAAGAATAATAATCCCACCGGGGGCGTGTGAACACGATGTTTCGAGATCTATTTCCGAATCTGCAATAAGGAAAGAAAGAAATAACAAAAGAAAAAAATAATAAACGGAGCAGCCGTGAGTTAACGATCTACTGCCGCTGATACAACGTTAATCTCGAGGTGAGCATAAACGAGGCACGGATTCTATCGACGTCGCTTATGCCTTCGGGTAATCCATACCGATGTACGTGGAAAGACCATGGGTAACGCGTACACGAGAAAAAATAAAGGAGCAAAACGAACGCAAGTGTAACTCAACCTGGGAGGTAGGTAGCCTTGCATCGAACGCGTTCAACGTTCGCAAGGAAAAGGGCAAGGTACAGTTGCGTCGTCGCCGCGGTGGTTCCGCTCAGCTAGGTAGGCTCTCCTTATTTTCGTTGCGACCGAGGTGATTTCGTGGAGGTGAAATTCCAAGTTCCCAACTGTTGCGCAAACCGTTACGCGCAAACGCAGTTTTGGGGGCGTGACGACTAACAACGAAGGGCCCGGAAGTGGCCGATAACATGCTGTTCTCCATTTTCTCTCCCTTTTCCCCCTTCGATATGCCGTCTACCCCTTGGTAGGCAGTTCGTTGGAATCCAGGGCCGTGGACTGTGTCACGGGAAAACAGAGCCGATGATCGCGAGGGGTTGAAAGGCCATCGTGTCTCCGGGCAAGCCCTCACTTCCGCCGCAAAATTCGTCTGGAATCCGAGATACAGAAGCTCTTCTTTATCACGATCATGGTTAAGAACCGTGTACCACTTGTCTTACTTTCGACGATTCGTTCCCTTTTATCTATTCGTTCTCTCTCTCTCTCTCTCTCTCTCTCTCTCTCTCTCTCACATACATACACACATGTAACGCGTTGCACTGAAAATTCGTCGTTCGAAAGTTCTCTACGGGAGACCCGTTCGTCTGTTTCCGGCGAACAAATCGACTAAACGCGCTAACCTACTTCCGCGAATCGTTATTGAAGGATAAATTTTGCACGACATTCACCACGGATCGATCTCTACCGTTTACGTGTCGCGAACACTTATTAGGAGGAATACACGAAAATACTCAGCTATGCGAATGGAATACGAATATATCGCGCAGTGGTTCTATCTGCCGAAATCCGGTATACGATAAGAAATGTGTTCCTTCCGGATCACAGCTCCAGTCGCGAAGCAGCAACACGGAAAGTGCAGCAGTGGCCCAGCGGCGAAGCACTTCTGCGCTATGCGCCGATAAAGAAAAAGCAACAAAACCGAACGGGAGAGGCCGAATCTTAAACTGAATATTACAGGACACCGTTAACTGTGTCGAATTGTTCGGATATTTTATTTTATTATTCTGACAAGAACGTATCTGAAAGGTTTACCCCCGCGGCACGGAATTTTGACATGGTAAGCAATGCGGATCGTCAGCAAAGTCTTTTCAGCCTTTTCCTTAAATACCGTACGATTGTTGAATCGCTTACGCTGAAAAGAGAGAAAAACAGAAACCAAATTGACGAATTTCACGAAATATTTTACGCAATTTTTGGTGGAAATCGAGATTAAAGCGAAAAAAAACTATACTACTTCTAACCTCGAAACGACACTTTCAGGATGTATCTGCGTTTTTCGAGGATTCTTTCGACGTTAAAGATTGGATCAATAAAACGTTTAAATCTGCGGAAGCACAGGAAAATAAAGATGTAAGTTATATATTGCTACAGTAATCTAAATCGCGATAATTCTCTTTCGTCTTTCGGCACAATTTATGCATTTCAACTGCACTGATGCAGTCGGTTGCTACACTGACGGCTTCCATTGCATCGCGGTCGATGACACCGTGTACTTCCTTTTTTAAGGATGATCATTTTTTTATCGCTTTTTCCCTTAAATTATTTAATCAAATATCGAATTTAGATAGTTTGACACAATTTTAAATCTAGAAACAACTGTTTTCCTAATAATTATTTCAAACTATCATGGGTTTAGGCATTTGTTTCATCCTTGGTAATGAAGTTGCAATTATATGTGCAACAAGTCAATGGTGCTCTAGAGGAAACCAGTCAATCTGTTCTCTCTAGCTTGCCAAGAGTTTTAAGGGATACACAGCTCTTACAACAAGAAGCTTTAGATCTGAGAGAAAAGATGGTTGGTGTGAAGCAAGAAATAGAAAAGGTCTTGTTTTCAAATACTCTGTACTAATGGATCAGGTAATTTATGTGTTTTCTTAACAGTATTATATTTATTAAATAGGTTGAGAAGGACACTGCATCTTCGATGACTACATTAGAAAGAATAGATAGGATAAAGACAGATTTGCAGAATGCTAAGCAGGGTTTACATGAAGCTGATAATTGGAGTGTACTAGCAACTGATGTTGAGGAGGTATGTAATGTAGCACAAGAAGGAGAATATCTATAGACCTTTCCTTGATGTTGCTCATAATATTACAGGTATTTGAGTCAGGTGATGTAGAGGCAATTGCAAACAAATTGTTTAGTATGCAGAAATCTTTGGCAATGCTTGTAAATGTTGTTGATTATGAAGATAAAAAGTTACAATTAGAAGGTTTAAAAAATCGATTAGAGGCAATAGCTAGTCCAAGACTAGTTCAAGCGTTTACTGCTGCAAATTTGGGTAAATTATATCCATCTATCAAACATGTGTTCCACATCATAGTTTGCACATATGAAATATATGTATATATATATATATATATATAATATTTTCATCATAAAATCTTTAGAGCAATCCAAAGTTTATGTGGATATTTTCAATAAAATGGAACGTTTACCGCAACTTCTGAAGTACTACCACAATTGTCTAAAAGTATCCTTAGGGCAAGAATGGCGCAGAACTATTGAGTTAGCACAAGATGAGAATGTTACATACTGGTTACACACTTATTATGACAAACTGTTATCTAGTTGGCACGATCAGGTATCTTTCATCTTTAAAAATAATGAGTTATCTTAGTTGAGTATTCCTAATGTAAGTTGCTTACTAAAGTTAACATAATTTTAATACAGGTGAAGTGGTGTAATCAAGTATTTCCAAATACTTCAATTGTTATTCTAATTGAAGTGTATACTGATCTTTTGAGAAGCCTGGATCCAAGCATTCCAGAATGTATAGAAGCAATATTAAAGCAACATTCAAATGTTATGCAATTGACTTTATTGCTTGAACTAAAACAAATTACGAGGCACTTTGCAGTAAATCTACATGGTGCGATTGAAGCCTCATTGCATGGGAAAATACAAAATTCAAAATTGCTGTCATTAGCGCAGGCAATATACGCACCTTATGTTCCATATGTTGTAAGATATAATGTTTATGAGACTGCACAACTTGAACATCAGATTCGATCTATGGATTTTGCACAAGACGATTTGAGCGAGACAATCAATGCTCTTTCTCTCAGTATTTCAAGAATAATGGAATATGCAAACGAGGCGAACAAAAGGTGCAAACTCTTTACAGATGGCTGCGGGTACCCTGGTTTATTAAAGTCTTTAAATGTATGTTCTTTAGAGTATCATCTTATAGCATAGTCATTGTACATTCGTATATATTGCATTGTTTTCTACTTTTACAGAGTTATTTTAATAAATATCTTGATAAATATCAAGCAGCTGTGTGGAAAATAGAGCATAAAAAAGTAAAACACGAGGATTGGAATTTATTCCAGATGTGTCTCACTTTAATGCAGAGTATAGGTAATATACGAAATCTGTATCTTGTTGAGAAATTTCGATCGAAATTGCTGTACATTATTTAATCAATTTAGGTGATCTTTTGGGGCAAGTTCAACAGTTCGAAAAGTCTTTAGTAATTGACATAACTGAAATTAATAACAAACTACAAAGTACAGCAGTAAGTGCTTTTTATCAGTATAAAAAGTTTCTTCTGAATGCATCGAGTGAAACTGAGTTAGAGAATCTAGTTGCATCTTTCCAGAAAGGTAATACTAACGAAATTCTGCTAAAGATTCACATCGTTAAACAGGACTATCATAATTATTTTTTCTTTCAGAAGAAACAACTATTCTTGATTTAATTGTAAAATCTATTCACAAACTTTGCTCAGATTTACATCGCGCCACGTACGAAGTTATTTTTGCTCCAATCTTTACTCAATTGTTATTAGTGCAGAAAGCACCCGTGTGGTCGGCTGAAGTAAATACATTGAGCCAGTTAAGTGCAGATCTACCTGATTATAGTTTCTCACCACAAGAATATATAACACAAGTCGGACAATATTTGATGACATTGCCGCAGCACTTAGAACCATTTTTGCTCAGAGAAAATCCAAGCCTTACGCAAGCATTAAAAGCAGCAGATCCACAATATGCACAGGGTTCAAGCGAATCTGGCTTCACTGGTATTTTATTAGATATTATTGCGAAAAGAACATGTCAGATGTTTCTAGATCAGACTTTAGGAATTTGTCAATTAAGTTCTGCCGCGTGCAAGCAACTTGCTACCGACATAGGTGTGTAAATACATGCGTTATACCAGAACCATGGCATTCATTTCTTTAAATTGTAACACGAAAAATGAATTATAGATTATCTTGGTAATGTATTGGAGGAACTTGGACTGGCTTTGTCAGAAAATCTACAACACATGTCTCTATTACTGAGATTATCGCCGGAAGATTATCAAAATCGCAGTTCCGGGTGTAATGCCAGAGTTGTAGCTGCAGTTAGACAAATGAGAAACATTACATCTTCTGGTTGAACAGTATATGCAGGAATCCAGAACACGGGTGAAAACTGTATGAATGTACAAGAAACATTTGTTGTGGTAACTATAACTTTATAATTTATGCAAATTGTTTATGTAAAGGATTAGTACATAATTGAGAGTCAGTATCTTCTATAAATTTTTATAGAATGGTATAAACAGAAAATATATATTTATATAAACTTAGAAACAATCATTAGAATTTTTATTTTACCAACTACATGTAATAGTTCCGGTTTTTTTTTATACTTTATGTGTTCATAGAAAAATATTCTTTAATTTTGTGTAAAAATATATAAGTGAATCTTTTTTTAACATACATAATAACTAGTAAAATAAAATTCTCCAAACAGTGATTGCACAACGCATATTTGTACTGGAAACGGACTTCTTGTTTAATGAATAATGCATCCTTCTGATGTGTTATACAGTCCTGTGTTTAATGTGCCATTAATGAGTTACTTCTGTAGTATTGCATCAATGGCTATGGTTATTGCATTTTGTATCGACCTAAAATGGTAAGGTTTTTAATTTTTTGTATATGTATATATATAGAATTACTAATAATAAAATATGAAAAGTAGGGTATACTTGTCAAAAGGAGTATCATAAGACTGTTCTTGGCTGTGTACTTTGAATGCTAGAGTAGTATTTTTAAGTCTGTTCACAAGTGTCTTGTTAGATGATTTCAGCATTTTATGGATTATTACTAAGGCTGAAAGCGTGTCAATCTGAAACACAACAGTACACATGGTAAGTTACAAAGTTATAGTACTCGACATTGAATAGATACATGAACATACACACTTTCGTATAACTTGCTATTGTTTTTGTTAGCACTTGAACACTCAAGGTTTGGTACTTTTTTGTATTTAAAATAATTTTTAATATCTTCGTTGCCAAGTAAGGGAATGATGTAATTAAAATATCTTCCTCTTTAATAAACGTGTTTTGGAGGACACAAGTCATTTCTGTGCTTACACTGCTGATCGCAGTGTTAAACATAATGGTGACATAGGGGAGACACATTTTTTGATCGTTAAAAGTATTTTTAATAGTAAAAAAATACTTTTTTGTCAGTTCATGCATTACTTTCAAATTCTGTAAAAGTTAATAAATGAAATAATTCAATGCAAATACCAGGCTCATTGCTAATACATTTATGTAAATACTTACGTTCGTATGCTTCGCCAAAATATCTTGATTATATCTGGTTAAAGTAACCATTGTAACACATACAAAATTTGGTACAATGATATCTAATAAATTTCTTTCATGGTTTTCGAAAGCCATTTTGCTAAAATCTAGTAGCTTTAGTATCGCATCGAATGCATAATTTAAGAAAACAACACCGCCTGTGGGAGACAGACAACTACAGTATAAAAGTACTATATCACAACATAACTTTGGGGTACAGTTGTATTCTTTTATCAGCAGATTCGAGGTATCAAGAGTACATTTTATTAAATCCGTACAAATTTGTCGGCTTTCGGTATCTATGTTTACATGTGGTATATGTGGTACTATCGTCCTGAATGAAAAATACATTATAAATTAGAATATTACGAGACTGTCCTAAAAAAACATATCGTTAATTTACATACTTTTTCACCCACAGTAGAATTTCCGCGAAGTGATCAGACGCGTCAAACACATCCTTCTTATGTAGCAAGAAGACCAATGATATGTATTCCTTAAAAAACTTTACAACCAAGTCTTTGGATATTAGATTATTCATATTGCATTCCTTATTTATTCCCTTTTCTATAAAAGTTCTCCATGCGTGGAGCGTCTCCCAAAACTTAAGTACATCTTGATGATACTTATTCATTAAAACTGATTGATATTCAATGTGCAATAAATGTTTTAAAATACGCAAGCTTAATTCTAAGCCTTTCTCGTTGATATTGACACTGGTTGCGATATTGCAAGAATCCTAAAATATTGTTGTATCAGTATGACGGTTAATTATTTAAAATATATTTGTTGTATAAGTATTTTTATACCTGATTATTTTGGGTGTTAATACTCAATGATTCCGTAAAGAGATTTGTTAATGCAAACAGAATTGTCTGGCCCTTATTCCATTTCATGAGAACATGTAAAACTGAAAGGAGTACATTGTCAGAAGTATCTGGACTGCACAATTGTTGTGCCAACGTTTCTATAACTTCGATATTATTGATGAAATACTTCGTCGGTATTAATGAAAATAAGAATATAACTGAGTCGTTCACTGGAGTTTCCTGGATAATGATTATTGACATAAAGAATCATGGAGAATTAAGAAATTCTAATATTTGGAGAATTACCCTAAAGTGTGATGAAAATTCTGGCAGGATATTTGCAATTAGTTGTATAATTTTTAATTCTTCTTCGTTATAATTATCGTCATCTATATTCCTTCTATTTGCTACTAATAGCATAGCAATTACATCGATACATATTTGTATATCTCTGTAGCTATCAAGATTTTCGTGTTCCCAATTATTTGCATTCTCTGTTAAGACAACCATAATTAATAATTTCAATATTGTACTTAATGCAACAATATTTAATATTACCAGTTTTTTCCATATCTTCTTTATTGCTAAACTTAATCCTTTTATTATAATTTTTCTTTGATATATTCGTTAAAGACATACATGCCAATTCATCTTTTATGGTAGATAAAATTGATTCAATTAGTTGTGCAGACACATTCCAGTCTATAACAGATTTAGAATGAAGACAGAATCTCCTAATTGCTTGAATATTATTAATTCCTATATATACTATTTCTTCCCTCATTTGATCATTATCCGAACCATTTAAAGAAATACGTTGCCAAACAAGTTTTATTAATTCTTGTAGCAAAAATGTATCTTGTGTACTCTGAAAATGTTTATACAGTCGGTATTTAACATTTAAATTAGCATATAATTACACGTTCATTAAACACATACGTACTTGTAAGCGATCAAGAACGTACGTTAACGGTACGATGTCCCAAAATGGTATTCCAAGTTGATTTTGGGCATGCCATAGAAGTTTTATTAATGCTTCCAATACTGTCTGATCTTCGTCATAAATACTTTTTGCAAAATTTGGCAGGAAGTCTTTAAGTATTCTATGAGATCGTTCCTTAATTAATATTTTCTTTAAACCAATGAAAACATTTGCTCTTATTTCCGCACTACTAGCAGTTTCCGTATAATGCAACAAAATGCTTAACCAATGACGTATAATATTGTTTGGAATATAGTTCCAATGCTTTTCTAATAGCCTTAAAAGCCCCTAACAATGTTTAGAATTGTAATATATTAATGATTATCTTTTAATTGATCCATTAAGAAGTACTTTAAAACTTGGTGTAACGCGGATTCAAATTAGCTTACGATCATAGTAACATTGCAGACTTGGGAATCAGAATCGTGCAAAAGATCAGTTACTGTCTTATAAAATTTCTTAAGATAAAATGTGTTTCTATCTTTTATACCACATGTGTATTGCACAGAGCTTGTCATGAAAAGAATTTCCACTGCATTACATCTAATGTATGAACCAGGAGCCTGTGAAACAATTTTACTTATTGCTTACCAAAAATTGTAGATGTACATATTTGTTTGATAGTACCTTCAAGTGTTTCCACAGCAAAATTTTACACTGGTTATGAATCATTGATCTTGCTGCTTGATTCTTATTCTCATGAATAGCGGCAAGAAATGAAAGCAGGTTTTTACCAAGTCTTTCCCTTCCAGTAGAATCTCTGTTTGCACGAAAGCAATGAAGAATAATATTTTGCAAGCAGTTCTCTACAATATACTTTTTTACGTTTGCTGTTGCATTTGACCATGCAGACACATACAAGTTTGCATAGGCAGCAATATGACTGTCCTCCACATTTTGTAAAACAACTTTTACATTATTATAAATTCCCTGAAACAGTCCAGCTGTTAATATTATTTAAAAAAGAAAAGTATTAATATACAGAATTGTAATTTATACCAATATGTACGGCTCTCCAAGCTTAAAAAGATGTAATATCAACATTCGACCTTCATCAAGTGACATCACAGTCTTTTCTCTGACAAGTTTAAGCAACTGTTGCACATCTTCCGTGCATTTTAGTAATGCAATGGAGGACCTTATCTCATACAAACGTTTTACGTATTGCTAAAAACATGTATGTTTCATGAATGATTTTGATATTAATCATACATTTAATGTATTTATTTAATATATAATTACCACTGAAGATTTGCAACCTTCAATGAGATATTTAACTGCATTTTGTATCACTTTTTCCCTCCATGTCATTTCCAATTTCCACCAGTTTTCTAATAAGTAAGATATTTCATTCTTTGCCTGCTTATCGTTTATGTTAGGCAACACAATGGAATGCAGTAACATTACATTTTGTAGGAGTACATTAGGAATAAATATTCGTTGCACAATGGTTTCACCAGCTATTGCAGTTATTGTGCGTATTAATTTAACCATAAGGTTACATTCCTACAATAATGGTGAAAAAATATAAATAAAATATTAAATGACAGTGATTGCTATTCCACATAAATAGTCTCACTTTTACATATCTGTCCCCCTTCGATGCTTGTGTACATAATTTTTGAGCCTCTAGTAATATGCCTTTCATGTGTTGCCATAACTCGCAAAGTTCATCCTCTGATAATACAACAATATTTTTCACATTGTTATTCTAAAATAAGAACTCACTATCAATAACTTTCACACTTTGTTATTAAAACATTGAAACAAACGTTTCTACTGATAAGTTTGATAGAAGGGTTATCTCAAAAATTGATTGATCTATATGAATATGTGTGTATAAATTACAGTGCGAAGTAAACGTATACTACAATATTCTATGTATTGATAGATACCAGTTTCTCGCATATACTGCGACCATTTGGACTTTTATTCTTTAAAATACGGAACAGTACTTTATCGTTAGGCGGTAATGCACGTTGGTGCAACATTGTTTTGAAACACCTAAAGAGGTGTTATTTGTTAAAATTATGCGTCGATCCGTCACACATTTTAAGAAAACTGAAAGACAAGAAATACAAATTAAAGAGTATACAGTCGATAATTTCATCTTATCGAGTGATAACGTAAATAAGAATGTCAAATGTTAACAATAAGAAGAAATGCACATGTTTTTGTTGTAGAGTGTATGACAAGAAAACATACTGAAGCGATGGGAGTTTCACTTCATGACATTTTAATAAGTACGTAATAAAAACAATAAAGTGTTGCACTTTCGTTTCAAAATTGTGAAGTTTGATTTCTAATAACAGAATCCTTAAGTTTTAACCAGTTTTATCAGAGAGGAAATGAGAGTGCTCACGTCCGGGAATTCGTTGTCCCCCAGTATGTGTGCTGCACCAAGCGGTCAATTCCGGCATAATAGTAGGAATCTACCATTTAAATGATTAAACCAGTGATGGGCAACCGAGCTCGCTCGGGCAAGTGGCGGGCAGCCGCGGGCTCCTGTGAAGGCGACACAAGGCAAGAAACGTAACGACATATTTGCGTATTGGTATTCCTTGACCCTTCTCGCACATTTCAATCTAAACTAGCGTATCACTCGTATAGATTAATAATCGGTACCGGAGATGGCTGGAGCGGTCGAACGGGAGCGAGCGAGAGCGGAAGA